GCTTATAGACGCATATTTTCGAACTCGCTTAGCGCGAACTTCAAGTCTTCTCTTTTCTCGATTGAGGCTATTGAGAAGTTCGCTCTTTGTAACGAAGATAGTCGCATATTGCAAATTTTTTAAATGCTGCGCAGACACTTGCCAGCATTCGAAGTTGCCCGCATAATCGCACTTCTGGAAGAAGGGTACAGTATGCGTTACGTAGCGCAACGTGTCGGTGTATCCGTATCTGTACTAAATGTAATAAATAGAGCGTGATTACGATATCAAGAAACAGTACAATACACGAGACGTCAAGGAAATGGCCGTCATCGTATAACAACAGTTCGACAAGATCGATAAATTGTTCGCCACGTTTTGAGAAGACGAACGATTACTGCAAGGTATGTTCGACATGAAGTTCCTACTTTACATCATGTCAGTGAACAAACCATTCGTCGTCGCTTAAGAGAGGTGGATCTTCGTTCTCGCTCTCGTGCACAGGTGCCAAGACTTACACTTGCACATCGTCAGGCTCGTCTTCAATTTACTCAAAATCACATAAATTGGACCGCGAGGCAATGGAGAACCGTTTATTTTTCGGACGAGTCGCGTTTCTGCCTTTACGGCAATGATGCTCGCATACGCACTTGGTGCCGACAAGGGGAGCGTTATGATCGACGCTGCGTTATGCGAATAAGAGCTCATAACGGCGGTTCAGTGATGGTATGGGGATGCATTTCGATGACGAGACGAACTGAATTAGTAATTTTGCCACCTCCAGCAATGAGGCTATTCGCTACGTGAATAATGTTCTCCGGCCTCAAGTTTTGCCTCTGCAGCATCTGTTACGTCGAAATTTTATATTCATGCAGGATAATGCTCGGCCCCATACAAAAAATGTAACGCAGCAGTTTTTTGAGCGACATGGCATCACATTGCTCCATCATCCTGCTAATAGCCCGGATTTGAATCCGATTGAACACATTTGGGACGAGGTGGAACGACGATTAAGACGCCGCGAAGAACAGCCACGAAATTTGTATGAGCTGCGAGAAGCGCTTAGGCAGATTTGGAACGAAATTCTAGTAGCCTTCATCCAGAGATGTGTAAACATGCGATTGCAATCGGTCATCAATCAGAGAGAAGGATACACACAATATTAAATACACCCTCATACACATAAATGCTCATCTCATCACCTTACACACACGCGCGCGCGCGCGCGCACACACACACACATACACGATGTGCAAATTCCGACCGACAACCTCCACGTGATGCACATTGGGTTACGCTAATGTCGGCGGTAACCACTATTTTTCAGAAAATGGCAAGAGCACTTCGAAAATTCTGATCAAAAAAGACATCACATAATGATCTTTTAACTTCAGGTTAGAGTAACTTCGTTAAAAATGGTCATAATGAGATTTTTAAAAAAGCATTTTAACGATTAAAATCTACTTTCAAAATCAGTAATTGATATTTCAATCTAACTGATCTTTGACGGAGCTATACGGACACAAATGGATATTTGTCAAATCTAAAATATCGTATAATTTTGTTCACACTTTACAAAGGTCTATGGCGTGAGGTAAAAATTACACGAAAATGCGGTTTGCAGCAGTCGAAAGAGTGAATCTTTTCCTTCAATTTCCTTTTTTATTGATTGTTGTACGATTTTTTTCCACCGAGTTATTGAACGTTAAAATAGAAGTGATCACTTTTGCTTCATCGTTCAATAATTCGGTAAAAAAAAATCGTACAATGTTTAATAAAAAAATAAATTAAAGGTAAAGATTCACTCTTTCGACTGCTGTAAATCGCATTTTCGTGTAATTTTTACCTCATGCCATAGACCTTTGTAAAGTTTGTAAAAAATTTTTATATTTTACGGATATCCATTTGTGTCCGTATAACGCCGTAAAGTATCAGTCATATTGAAATTTCAATTATAGATTTCGAAAGTAGAGATTTCAACCTTTAAAATCCTTTTTTAATTTTTTGTCTGCGATGAT